GTAAGGATTTATAGGAGGAAGGGGGGTAATAATAAGTATTTATAGGAGGAAGGGGGTAATAGTAAGGATTTATAGGAGGAAGGGGGGTAATAGTAATGATTTATAGGGTGAAGGGGGGTAATAGTAAGGATTTATAGGAGGAAGGGGGGTAATAGTAAGGATTTATAGGGGGAGGGAGGTAATTTCCCTTGCTTTCTCGTGGGCGGGAAATCGAGAGTAGATATGGCCGTAACCGGCTTCCATAGAGCACAGCTGTTATTATTATGGTTGTGAATGATGCGCTACTAAAGGCACGTAACAACATTTTCATATGAATACAGACCACAGTTAAAATATTGTTTCCCTTGCATTTATCATGTGAGTGATGTAGTTAATGACAGTTAGTTGGGGTACAATAGGTGGCATACGAATCTACATAATAATATGGTTCTTTCATGGAAATAACACACAATAATGTGATTTTGGGGCTTTCTTGAAATATCATTGCTTTTTAAATAATTTGACTTATTAATTCGAGTTTGTTGATCAAAATAGTTGTTATATCCATGTAAGAACCAGGCGTAGTTTCATATGAAATAGGGGCAGACTGGCATAATTGAGGGGGTCAACTATCAGGGGGGAGAATCAAATTGCAGAAGTGGAAGCGCCATGAAAGCTGAATTCACACAAGCTTCCTATGGAAGAGATTTATGGAAGAGAATCTTGAATATTTGAATTTATTTGCTATATTCTGACACAATTTTGGGGTAAAATAGAAAATAATTCACTTGTTGAAATTTCTTAGAAATGTTGTGGGGGGTACAATTGGGGATGCAATCTATTTAGTTAACTGAAGGGCCGTGACCTTTACCATCAAAGCTACTTTGTACAACAAGGCGATGAGCATATATAGCTGTAGAGAACCTCTCTTGGCACGTTGGTTAAGACGTGTGTGCCACCCCTCGACATCGTTGTTTGTTCAGATAGAGTACCCGTACATGCACCAATCAGCAATTGTCCAAATCGAGCTCGTCATCCACGTGGCATCGAGGTAGTCAAAGAAGGTGACGAGCTTGTCAGTTGCAGCATAGCGATCTCGTAATCTGTCAAAAGTGGGATGTATATGCTCACTGGGAAGATATGGTACCAGTAGTGCAACACTTTCTTAACCAATTTGTAGAGAGCGTCGCGTTGATGGTATACAGTTTCCAATCCTAATTCCTGAATTTTACGGAAGACTGTCTGAGCCCAGTGAAACCCACAGCCCCTGATCTGAATACCGGGAAATGCTGTGCGAAAACCTTTCCAAATCCGGCCTCAAAATCACTGACGGCACCCCTGATATTAATTCTGTCTAAACAATCTTTCACAGCTTCGAACACCTGAAATGAATGAAACGATATGTGTTATATTTATATTTTAAGTTATATTATTTGTATTTATATATTTATTTCATTTGTAGTTTATAGTATATAATATTATTTATAATATGTCGCCTTACCTTAGCATAATCTCTACCCCTCTTCCTCGACATTAGGCAAAATGTCAACGGCACTTGCTTCAAGTGCTCACTATACCTAATAACCATGAATAGTGAACAATTGTTTAAATGGTAATTTCAAGACCTTAAACGTTGCGTCTATATACCATGTCTTCACCTTGGCTAATAACTGCAACTGTTCTTCAGTTGCAAAGAGTAAATGCCGGGCATGTCCAACATGAATGTCAGAACGGAAAAAAACTTTCCGGCAAAAACTCTGTGTTAAGCTGAAAGATACATAAAAACAATGATTATTAGATGCACAATACATATTACTTTTATATTAATTACTTACTATTATTTAATGTCATTGGACACACATACATTTGATTATTAAGATATTTACCTAACTTCTAATCAAAATTTCTACCGATGTCAGTTGATAGCCCTTGCCAGGTTCACCGGATTCGGCACTTCTGTCAGTGGTCTATTTTCATTTACGATTGCAGAAATGAGGTCTTCGGTTAATTCATTCCCGGACTGGAATAGGGCATAGACTCTGATGGCTTTACATTTTTTCCGGCATCGTTTAGACCAGGCATAGATGGATGGCTGTGACTGCGGCGACCCGTAACGAATTTTCCATACCAAGTGTTGCCTTTCCCCCTTACGCTACATCGCCAGTAATAGATCAGACTACAAATGTTTTTTTACATGGTATCTTAAACTTGAATAATGAGTAAAACTTTTCTTACAAACATCACATTGGTATGGTTTCTCTCCAGTATGAACTCTCATGTGGTTATTACGACTACCTGTTTGAGAAAAACACTTTTTACAAACATCACATTTATAAGGTTTCTCTCCAGTATGTTTTCTTAAGTGAACCTTCAAATCATTTGATTCGGCAAAACCCTTTTTACAAACATCACATTGATGAGGTTTTTCTCCAGTATGTATTTTTAAGTGCCTAATAAGATGATTTGACATAGTAAAACATTTTTTACACACATCACATTGGTAAGGTTTCTCTCCGGTATGTATTCTCATGTGAGTGGTAAGATTACATGACCCAGTAAAGCACATTTTACAAACATCACATTGGTAAGGTTTTTCTCCAGTATGTGTTTTCATGTGAGTAGTAAGGTTACCTGACTGAGAAAAACACTTTTTACACACATCACATTTGAATGGTTTCTCTCTAGTATGAATTCTCATGTGAAGATTCAGATCACTTGACTGGGTAAAACACTTTTTACAAACAACACATTTGAATGGTTTCTCTCCAGTATGTATTCTTTGGTGAGCTCTTAGATTTGATGGTAATGTAAAATATTTTTCACAAACATCACATCTGAACGGTTTTTCTCCAGTATGTGTTCGCAAGTGAACTTTAAGATGTGATGGCGCTTTGAAACACTTTTTACAAACATCACATCGGTGAATTTTTCTCAAAATAGATTCCATTGTAACTTTTCAATAAGATGATAAAAAAAGATTGCAGAACAGGAAGTGTAATATTTTACGGATTAACTTTGGATTTATGGATAGGTTTATGAGAAAAGATATTTGTAAGACTAAATTACGGATTGAAAAATATTCACAAACAATTGACTGTCTTTGTAAAAACGTAAATGAAATGCGGCAAAAGTACGGAGCCCCTAAGGCGCAATTGCAAACATATTTATTTATTATTTCGTTTAAACGAAAAATAATTATTTCGTTTAAACGAAATAACATCATTTATTTCGTTTAAATGATGTTATTTCGTTTAAACGAATTAATTATTTCGTTTAAACGAAAAATAATTATTTCGTTTAAACGAAATAAAAAGATGGGTTAATTATTTCGTTTAAACGAAAAAGACGAAATAATAATTCGTTTAAACGAAATAATAATAAAAAGTGTTGAAAATTGCGCTTAAGGGGCTCCGTACAAAAGCCTTTCTTCTGATTAAAGGGTAAAAATAAGTCGAGAAAGCGAGGAAAAAAGCGAAGAAGCGAGGAAAAAGAGTATTTCTCGCCTTTTCCCTCACCTTTTTCCTCGCTTTCACGCTCTCACCCTTTCTCGCCTTTTTCCTCGCCTATTGATAGCTCTATTTTTTAAGGGACTAATCATTTTCCAAATGTTTACAATTTTAATGTGTTGTGTTTGTTAGACAAAAAAAAACATTATAGGCTACCTAAAGATCAGCAAGGTATAAGTGAGGGCTCGATGATAAAGTTTTATTAGATATATATTTTCTGTGAACAACTTATGATTTGTAACTCTATAGGCTTAATAAAGGAGCAGTAGGCCTAAGCAAAATTTTCATCATCAAAAACATCGTAAATCATACCTGAACATGTTTCTCAAATATGCTATTTATATCTATGTATCTACTGGATTGAACTGAATTTGTTTTCAAGATAACCTTATCTTAGCTACCTTCTCTTGTCTTATCTTAGCTACCTTCTCTTGTCTTATCTTAGCTACCTTCTCTTGTCTTGTCTTATCTACCTTCTCTTGTCTTATCTTATCTACTTTCTCTTGTCTTATCTTATCTACCTTCTCTTGTCTTATCTTATCTACCTTCTCTTGTCTTATCTTAGCTACCTTCTCTTGTCTTGTCTTAGCTACCTTCTCTTGTCTTGTCTTAGCTACCTTCTCTTGTCTTATCTTATCTACCATCTCTTGTCTTATCTTATCTACCTTCTCTTGTCTTATCTTAGCTACCTTCTCTTGTCTTATCTTATCTACCTTCTCTTGTCTTATCTTATCTACCTTCTCTTGTCTTATCTTAGCTACCTTCTCTTGTCTTATCTTAGCTACCTTCTCTTGTCTTATCTTATCTACCTTCTCTTGTCTTATCTTCTCTACCTTCTCTTTTCTTATCTTATCTACCTTCTCTTGTCTTATCTTATACGTTAAAGGTAATAAGTGTACTTTTCATACGCCCCCATGGCCGTCGTTCCGTCCACAATTGCTCATAAACACTCTACAAGACACAATTCTTGACGGATTTTGACAAAACTTGGTGTGAGTGTTTGTAATCACCCAAGGATGAACCCTATTGAAAATCAGGAGAATCGAAAAATATTAAGTATAAGTTATTGCCCTTGTTCTTGAAAACGCGTTCAATTTTTAGCTCGTAAACACTCTTGAAGGCAGAAGCCTTGACGGATTTTGATGAAACTTTGTGTTAAGAGTGAAGTGTGAGTGTATGTAATCAACCAAGGATGAACCCTATTTAAAAATCATACGAATCGAAAATTATTTAGTTTGAGTTATTGTCCTTGCTCTTAAAAACATGTACAATTTTTAGCTCGTGAACACTCTGGAAGGCACAATTCTTGACGGATTTTGACGAAACTTGGCATGAGTGTTTGTTATCACCCAAGGATAAGCCCAAATGAAAAACAGAAAAATCGATTGTCCGTGATCTTGAGAACGTGTTCCATTTCTTAGCTCGTAAACATTCTAGAAGGCTCAATTCTTGACAGATTTTGACTAGACTTTTGAAATTGTTTATTATCGCCCATAGATGAACCCCATCGAATTAATACAAGCTCTCAAAATCTTTTACCGCATTTCATTTACGTTTTACAAACACAGTCAATTGTTTGTGAATATTTTTCAATCCATTATTTAGTCTCACAAATATCTTTTCTCATAATTGAATAAACTAATTAAGAGATTAGGGGACTACAAGAAAGATAATCTTAATTAATCACTCATTTGATTACTAATAATCCGTATCGGTATTGATAAAAAGGAGGTTATGTCACTATAAATAGACAGTATCACAGCAAGTGTTCTTTGTGCTGACTGAGGTAAAATTACATAGCAGACGATATACTGGAATGATATCTTCATACTTAACGGGGACGTCAACCTCATCTGCAGTGAGGTCGACAATAAAAACGGTCGAGTCGAGCGCCACCCTATAGACACAACTAAAGTCTATTATAATATTCTGACACAAGTTCTTTTAGTTGATGCCTACAGGCATCACAACCTGAAGCGAAGGGTCTTTACCTTCCTTCGTGGTGAAATTTGCTCGATCGTATCTACGTGTCTCAGTCTGTCGTCGACCAGGTACGGCGTATGTCTCATACCACTCTCCGCTAAAGTCATGTCGGTCGGGTAAGGGGAAGTGGAAGATGAATACGTCCGTACTGGAAGACGACAACTATGTACACCAGTTCCATGCCTTCTGGGGGTCGTGGAAGGACGAAAAAACCAATTTCTTAAATCCGGTTGATTGGTAGAAAGAAGGGAAAAAGAAAATAAAAAAAAATGAGTATTACTTTTTCTGTAAATAAAAAAAATAATATTGATAATGAAATCTCCAACTTAAAGATAAAAGAAAGAAAATGTAGAAAACAGTAGATATTGAGAACAATATAATAACGAACTCGAGAAGATCAATACAAAACTCAATTCACTTGAAGGCCGAGTCAAAAGGGGAGTCCTTATACGATCCAAACTTCCCTTTGAAGAGACTGATGTAGATAATCGTCATATATTTAAAAAGGCCGAAATTGATCATGGGAATGGGAAGCTTCTCGAGAGACTTATCGATGACAGTGGCGAGAAGAAATTATGAACATCGTAGAGAATTTTTACTCCAATCTCTACACGGCCGATCCTATACCCAAATCTGTCATCGATGAGTACCTCGACAATTCCCAGATCACACCGAGACAGCCGAGACAGCGGTGATGGATAATCAGGTCATTTCGAAGGAGGAGATTCACGAATTTTACCTGAAATTCTGGGATGTCATCCAGGATGACTTGTCAGAAGTTATCAACAATTTATTCTTCCAAGGCCATCTTTCTGAAACGATGAGAACCTCCGTGATCTCGATTCATTACAAAAATAAGGGATCTAGAAAACTATTGTCCGATCTCTCTATTACAAAATATTAGCAAAGGTGACACCCTTGAAAGAGGTGTGAAGCAAGGTTGCCCACTCTTTATGCTCTGGCAATTCACCCTGTGGCACTTAACATCTCTAACAATCGATCTATAGTAGGCGTCGACATTCCAAACTATCATCGGCAGGTCAAAACATTCCAACATGCAGACGATTTGACCGCTGTTATCTCTTACCCCGACTCCTTCTCGCAGCTTAATAAGGAACTTTCCAAATTTGAGAGCGCGTCGGGATCGAAGTTTAACAAAAAGAAAACGGAAATTCAAGCGACGGGAGGGATGACTGCCCACATACCAGATGCGGATAAAATGTTCCTCAAACCAATAATCAAAATTCTTGGTATATATTTTGGCAGAGGAAATCATGACTCCAACTGGAATCCTATACTTAATAAAATCCGTGGCATTGTTAAGAAATGGAAGAACCGCTCCCTAAAATTTAGGGACAAAATTCTGAATACGTACATTTTATCGCAAGTCTGGTATGTCGGCAGAATAGTCAAACCCGACAAACACATCATAAAGAAGCTGAATCGGACTATCTTCTCTTTCATCTGGGATCACCAAAGAGAGAGGATAGCCCGAGATACCCTTTATCTTCCTTTGGAGGAATGAGGGCTGGGAGAATGTAATATCGAACTTAAACTCCAGTCCTTCGACCTCCAGATGGTAAAGTTGTCCATATGAGGAGACAGACATCCCTGGAAATCTCTGTTCTTCTATTGGATGGGTCTTACTCTTAGAGAGTTCAACACTGACAGAAGACATCCCGTAACAACGTTTCGGCCAACACCAAACATTTCTACCAAAGCTTCCAACTTAATAATAAATAAATCGGCAGCAGGAAATAACATCCAAATCATTTATAAACACCTATTAAAAACTATTAACCATAACATAACTGTACAGCAGCAAAATCCAAACATCAAATTTCCTGTTGGGTTCCGGAATCTCTGAAAGTCTAGTGTGGACAAAGGGGAGAATGAGTTTCTATTTCTCCTGGTACATCCTGCACTTCCAACGAGACACTTTCTCTCCATAAGAAGCACACAGGAGATTAATACAAAGTGTGGATTTTGCCACAAACGAACCTAAACGCTGTTGCATCTTTTTGCAGTGTGTGAAACTTTATCACCACTGCGAGATAGATTCTGTCAGTTTATGTCAGTTTATGTCAGATTCTCTGAGAGCGCCCATTTAATGGGAGAATTTACCAGATTCCTGGTTGACAGATCTCTGATCCCCCATATGTACCACTATTTCACTATCACATATGTTAAGCATAGGATGTCCGCCTTACACTAGATCTGAGTGTGGGCAGGAATGTGGGATGGTAAAAAGACGCCGATTGCGGATCAAAATGGTTTAATTCTAGATTCTTACAAATGTGAAGGGTGAAAAATCATATTCAAATCAGTATTGGGTTTTTCATTGGTAGTTATAATAATTGGTTTGTTAAATTGTTATCATAATGTTTAGTTACCGCTGATCACCAAAGCGGTGTATAAAGATATTTCCGAGCGTTTGATCTTTAAAACCACCACTAGTTTTCAAAATAACGTCTTTATTTCAATAATTTGTGTAGACTTCAGTGTTGTAGACGAGTTAACTCGAGGTTATAGACGAGTTAACTCGAGGTTGTAGACGAGTTAACTCGAGGTCGTAGCTGAGTTAACTGTTGGCGAGTTGACATGTAGACGAGTTGATCGAACATCGTCTTTTTCTCATAAACCTATCTATAAATCCAAAGTTAATCCGTAAAATATTACACTTCCTGTTCTGCCATTTTTTTTATCATCTTATTGAAAGTTACAATGGAAAATACTTTGAGACAAATTCACCGATGTGATGTTTGTAAAAAGTGTTTCAAATCGCCATCACAACTTAAAGTTCACATGAAAACACATACTGGAGAAAAACCGTTCAAATGTGATGTTTGTAAAAAATGTTTTGTGGGGGCCTGTAAGCGAGATATTCACATGAGAACTCATACCGGAGAGAAACCATTCGAATGTGATGTTTGTAAAAAGTGCTTTTCTCAGTCAGGTAATCTTACTACTCACATGAAAACACATACTGGAGAAAAACTTTACCAATGTGATTTTTGTAAAAAATGTTTTGTTCAGGCAAGTAGGCGAGATATTCACATGAGAATACATACTGGAGAGAAACCTTATAAATGTGATGTTTGTAAAAAGTTTTTTGCTGTGAAAAGTCAGAGAAATATTCACATGAGAATACATACTGGAGAGAAACCTTATAAATGTGATGTTTGTAAAAAGTCTTTTACTCACGCAAGTAGTCTTAAGGAGCACATGAGAACACATACTGAAGAGAAACCTTATAAATGTGATGTTTGTAAAAAGTGTTTTACCCACACAGGTAGACTTAAGGAGCACATGAGAATACATACTGGAGAGAAACCCTACCAATGTGATGTTTGTAAAAAGTTTTTTGCTGTGAAAAGTCAGAGAAATATTCACATGAGAATACATACTGGAGAGAAACCTTATAAATGTGATGTTTGTAGAATGTGCTTTTCTCACACAGGTAGTCTTAAGGAGCACATGAGAATACATACTGGAGAGAAACCATTCCATTGTGATGTTTGTAAAATGTGCTTTTCTCAGTCAGGTAATCTTACCACTCACATGAAATCACATACTGGAGAAAAACCTTTTGAATGTCATGTTTGTAAACAATGTTTTGTCCAATCAAGTTATCTGAAGCTTCACTTAAGAAAACATACTGGAGAGAATCTATTCAAATGTGATGTTTGTAAAAAGTCTTTTACTCAAGCAGGTACTCTTAATGTTCACATGAGAACACATACTGGAGAGAAACCTTATAAATGTGATGTTTGTAAAAAGCCTTTTACTCATTCTGCAAGTTTAAGACATCATGTACAAAAACATTTGTAGTCTGATCGCAGCATGTTTGAGGAATTTCACCAATATGGTTTTTTGGTAGATAATATGTGTCCTCTATTGCATGATTTAGTTAAGATTAGTGGATCATGTGATAGAGGACTCCTCTGAGTCTACCAGCAAGAAATGAACACTAGGACTCTTACATGACACGTAAATTTGAGTTATCTGTGTTGAACTGTTGCAGACGCAACTTAGTAAGAATTAGCATTAGCATATATAATGTTATAAATAGGTTGAGAACTTTGAAGGAATTAATCTCATATGCCCTCATGATTCCAGTTGACCCACCTTAATTATGAAGTAAGTTGTTATCCTCGTGAAATATAGTTGTTTGTTTCTTTCTAGTTGGAGGTCAAGTCTATTAAATTTAATACCTATTTCACTCAATCTCAATTTCTTGATATTGATATTGAAAACTGGTTTCTGTCCAAACTTGCTCGTATGTACTCTAGAAGGCACAACTCTTGATGGATTTTAACGAAACTTCGTATTAGTGTATGATATCACTCCAGAATGAACTCTATGGAAAATTAGAAAAATCGAAAAATGCTTAGTATGAGTTATTGCCAATGTTCTTGAAAACACTTTCAATTTTAGCTTGTAAACGCTCCAGAAGGCACAATTCTTTTGACAAGATGTAGTGTGAGTATTTGTAATCCCCCAGGATGAACCTTATTGCAAATCAGAAAAAATAGAAAATATTTATGACCAAGTATGACTTATGGACCATGTTCTTGAAAAAGCATTCAATATTTAGTTGGTAAAAAGGCTTGATTCTTGCCAGATTTAACAAAACTTGTTACTGTTGTTTAGTATCACTACAAAAAGAAGTGTATGATTGAAGGTTGAATATTTCATACATTTCAAAATCAAAGCTACCAGTGAGTGTGTATTACTTTAGTATCTGTATCTGTAATATTACTCTAGACTTATATTTTATAATTTTCATTATTCTATCTGTATGTACATACTGCATATATGTAATTTCATTGTATAATATAACAATTATGGAAATTGGAAAATATTGTCTATGATTAATAAATGAATGTAAAATTTACACAAAGTGTTGCTTTAGTTAGTTTAGACCACTTTTGTCCACTCAAGGGGTTTTGGACTGTCAGTCAGTCCGTCCGTTCACATTTCTTGTAGGCGCTATAGCTGCTACAGTTTTTATCCAATCTTAATGAAACTTGTTATGCATGTATATATTGATGAGATCTCAGTTAATTGCGAAATTGGTAATGATTGGATAACCTGTTTCAGAGTTATTGCCCTTGACTTAGTAAAAACGCGTCAAATTTGCCTTGTAGGCACGATAGAGACTACAGTTTTTATCCGATCTTCATGAAACTTGTTGGCATGTTTGGATTGATGAGATCTCAGTCAAGTTCAGAATTAGTAATAATCGAGTGAACGTTTTCAGAGTTATTGCCCTTGACTTAGTAAAAACGTGTCAAATTTGAGTTGTAGGCACGATAGAGACTACAGTTTTTATCCGATCTTCATGAAACTTGTTGGCATGTTTGGATTGATGAGATCTCAGTCAAGTTCGGAATTAGTAATAATCGAGTGAACGTTTTCAGAGTTATTGCCCTTGACTTAGTAAAAACGTGTCAAATTTGAGTTGTAGGCACGATAGAGACTACAGTTTTTATCCGATCTTCATGAAACTTGTTGGCATGTTTGGATTGATGAGATCTCAGTCAAGTTCGGAATTAGTAATAATCGAGTGAACGTTTTCAGAGTTATTGCCCTTGACTTAGTAAATACGTGTCAAATTTGAGTTGT